CGTTTCTCAAAGCCTGACATCAGATAAGTGATTCCTCCGTCTCATATCTCATCCAGAGCTCTGACAAAGAGCCGTGAGCAGACTTTTCTCAGAGTGTTAACTTTGAACCTTTACACCCATGTAAGCTCTATATCCAGACTGTGCAAAAAAAAAAAAAAGAAAAGAAAAGAAAAAAGCCAACATTCCTTGGAAGTCACCCGTGGCACGTTTTGGAGCGTCTGCAAAAAAAAAATCAGCCCATTATTTATTGTCAACAAAGCGGCCTCAGAACGTGTCTTGTTTCGACCCTTTCGTCTTTTTTTTTTTTGATTTTCAGAAAGTTCGACTCATCCTCATCCATCCGTCCTGAACCGTTGACCTTGAATGTTTTGTCTTGTTGTTGAAATCATCCTAGAGATGTGGGGGGAAAAAAGGAGACAGTCTCTGCAAAAATATTGCGTAACTGCACGTATGACAATAATACTATTTTCTTCCGATGGCTTCTTTTGGATTCTTTGAATCTCAGGACGGTTAATTACGGAGGACGGAGATTATCAGTTACCACTGGAATCGAACCAGTGACTATATGTTGTAAGGCAACAGCAGTAACCAGTACTGTATGCCCTTCCTGTTCTGTCTAGTTTTGTTTTGTTTTTGTTTGGTTTTTTTGCGCTTAGCTGCAGAATCTCAGAACAAGGCTCAAGAAAGCGAGCTCTGAACTCAACGTGACACCAGTCAATGCCGTGCTGTTTCTTTTCAGGAACGCTAATCAATTACATGTTAGCCACATTAGCATCCTTACTGACTGAGCACACTGTTGGCTTTTACACAACGTATAAAACTGTAGCCATTGATATAACACAACAGTCAAGTGTTTTAGCGCCATCGTGAGAATCTGTGTTTATCTTATCGTGACCCTATGGTTTAGTAAATATTTTTCACAAATATTATGCCAAGCTGCTTATTAGTGCTGTACTATTTTATTCTTTTAATTACTCTTTTTTTCCTACTGTGCGTATTTTTATACATTTATTTTTATTTAATCTTCTTTATTTATCTCGAGTGGTTTTGATCCAAACCTGTCGAAGGTAAATTCTCCGTGTTGCCTCTGATTGAAGTCCTAATTTGTGAGAAGGAACCAAAACTAAAAAGCTGTTAAAAATTCAGACGACGTCGTTAAAATCATCTCCAGTTGAGTGATTGACAGGAAGTTAAAACAACAAATGAGCCGAGCTGTCGTACAATAATCATGACAGACTGATGTGAGCTTGTTTAGAGCTTTGGAAAAAAAAAACACATGAAACAGAATGAAAGTCAGGTTTGTTCTAAAAACATTTATTAAACGGCGTTTAACTTATACAAATGTGAGTCAAAAAGTCAATTTTTTTTTTCTCCCGGCTAAAAACTAAATAAACATGACAGTACTTATGTAAACACATTCCAGCAAGTACCTCGCTCTTTCCTTTGCATTTTACTTCCTGTATTGTAACATTTTCTCCAACAGTTAAATATTTCTTCAGCACTTTATTGTTTATACTTGATATTCATTGAATGTTTATTCAGTTTACAGAGAACTTCATGTTCTACATAATATTTGACATTCTTTAAGTTTCGAATTCATTGTTTAGTTTTTATAGAAATTTAGCTTTTACTGTGCACTAGGTACATAACTTTTTTATTATTATTATTTTATTCTGACTAAAATTAATTAATTTTTGCAGGTCTTTAGTCATTTCAACTGGTAGTGTTTTTTACTGACTGTTGTCCTGAGTGTTGGTGAAGTTGACAAGTGTAGTCGTCTTCTTCTGGCAGGTGTTATTCACACTTCCTCTGTTCTCATGCTATTATATTTTGTTGCCGCCATGTTTGTTGTTTGTTGTTTGTTTTTTTTCCAGTCGACACAGTGTTTCAATTATGAAAACGTGATGTTTCAATATGGATCAGTGTTTGCTGAATATTTTGGTAAAAAAAAAAAAAAGAACCTAAAAAAAATTCTAGGTTGAATTATTTTGATAAAAAATTGGATGTCACACCATGACAAAATGTTATTGTTGTTATGTAAATATGTTCACCTCCTTTGTTCATTTGTTTCTACACATGTAAGACTGTCTGTGTTTCCACTTCCTGTCTTGTCTGCTGGGTGGAGTCAGTGTCATCACACTCACCAGTGTCTCTGTCGTTAGTCTCACTGGTGTCACCTGGTGCCCTGGGTTTATATACCTCCCTCCCTCCCTCACTCTGTTCCTGTTGGGATCGTTGATCTGTACCTGTCTGTGAGTTTCCTCTTCTGTGTTTCCTAGTATTTCGTTACAAAGAGACTGTTATGCCTTGCTGTAGTTTGTCCTGTTTTTTCACTTTGTGAATAAACCTGTTACACCTGAAAAAGTATCGCATTTGGGTCCTTCCTGCTTCCATGGTGTCCAAACGTAACAAAGATTTTTTTTTCTGGATTTCCATGATGTATTTGGAAGATAAGGTGCTACAGATTAGCATTTTCCTTCTGATGTTCACAGAGACCTTGTTGTTTTAAGTGATGTAAGAGAAATCAATTTCATCGCCTCAAGTAATGCTAATCATCTGAACAGACTGCTGTGATGGGTGTGAACTAATAATTAACAACAACTGCTGCGCTGTGTTTATAAACTGTCATCGTTTTGTTTACGTTTGTAAATTTGTACGGATTTATTTTCCGATGCAGTCGTGCTCTTCTTTCATAACCAGAAAACGCGATACCCTTGAGGTTCTCGTGAAAAGATCACACATTTTAACGCCAAAGAAAAACAACTTGAAAGTAGCACAACTTTATCTAAGGACTAACCCATAAGTTGTTAAAGAAGTTAGCTTAAAAAGGCTGAAACTGAAAGAAAAAACAAAAGTTAGCTTGTGTGATAACAGTTAGCCAAGACCAAGACAATAAGCCTAAGTTAGTAAACACAGAAAACTAGCCATAAAAAGCTAAGTTGTTCCCGAGTCAGATAAGCTAATTGTCAAAAATGAAAAAGCCTTGACAATGATCAAAGAAAACTTTTGTAAATATAAAATTATTTTTTGTCAATATATGCTCCAATATTAGCGCAGTTATATCAGTATAAACAAAAAAATGTATTAAGATTAGCCTATACTGTACAGTCTGTGTCTTCTAGAAATAGCCTTGTGTGTGTGTGTGTGTGTGTGCTTGAGCTAAGCTAAGGTTATTTCAGGTAGAATCCTAACTAGGTTCCAGATGTTACATTAGCCCCGATGGCTAAAACACAACTAACAAAACACATCTTTTCTTGTCAGCGAAAAATACAAGTTCTAGCCCAGAGCCGTCAGTCACCGCTGTGGCTGAATATTTGGGCTGTGATCAGAAGGTGTTATTGTTCACCAAAAAAAAAAAATTTTTTTTAACCTAATAACACACATTTAAATAATCTTTGTACCATTTCTGCTTGACCTATTTCCTCTCGTGTAATATATCGTTAAAGCAGCCTTGTGAAATGGCTTAATTATTCATGCTTGATTTCAAAATGAAGAGCTTTGAGAACACGGGCTCCGCAGGAGGATTGACACACGCAACGGTGCTCCTACAAGCACACACACTGAGGCGCACAGGGGCCTGGTTTTCATAAGAAAAACACACACACACACACACACACACACACACTCCACTGACTTCATCCACTGTGTTGTGCACAGAGCATTAAAGCAGGAGTGAAGATAAATGCCCTGTCAGCGCCTTTAATGATTTATTTCAAACATTTCACT